CCAATCAGAATTGAGGGATAACTTTTCAGGAAATATCTGTTTTAGGCTTACGATCAGGATTAGGTGCTTCTACACTCTTGTTAATCAGCTATCATTTAAGAGTGAGAGAGTGACGTGACATGTGGCCAAGTATGGTGACCCATACTCGGAATTAGTGCTCTGTATTTATCCCATCCAAAGTGCACACACACAGCAGTGAACACACACACACCGTGAACACACACCCGGAGCAGTGGGCAGCCATTTATGCTGCGGCGCCCGGGGAGCAGTTGGGGGTTCGGTGCCTTGCTCAAGGGCACCTCAGTCGTGGTATTGAAGGTGGGAGAGAGCGCTGTACATTCACACCCCCCACCTACAATCCCTGCCGGTACGAGACTGGGGTGTTAGAGAAATAAATGAACATTTATTTCTTATTATTGTTTTAATTCATATTAAGAAAATAAATTACGAGAAAATGAAAAATATATAAAATATTTGCAGTGAATCTCTTGATTCCTGAGCAAGAAAGCAAAGGCTATTAAATTTAGTCAATGCGAACATAAAACACCCTCGACCCCATTTGAAAACCCATGAACTACTAAGTAACATCAAATGTAACATAGCACATATCAGTGCCCATAACTAATAATAAAAAAAATAAAGTAACCATGAAATAAATGGTTATATATGTTCAGAAACAGGAATTAACTAATTTGTTGAGATGTGAGCCAATGTGAGAGTTTTTGTTAAATGTGAGCCAAAATCATCACAATTAAAAGAACCAACGACTTAAACTACTTCAGTCTGTGTGCACTGAATTTATTTAATACACGAGTTTCACAATTTGAGTTGAATTACTGAAATAAATTAACTTTTCCACGACATTCTAATTTATTGAGATGCACCTGTATATACATTCATGAACTGTAAAATATACATTCACACCAAAGACAATAACTATAATGACAACTATATTGTCATCCACACCAATGGAAGACAACATTTTGTTTATTATAGCATTTGTCGTCTGTCACTTTAAATCCTCAAACTCTATAAAAGTTGGTGGATTCTGATCAGCTGGAAAAAATATCTTTCTTAAAGTGTTTGCAGCAATATCATTCCTTATTGTTATAGTTGTGGTGTAGACTTCAACGTCATAGAATTAGAATAATTCAAACTTTACCATTGTTTTTAATGCTATCCTGTAACTCCTGAAATTTTGTCACTGCCAATCACACTTGTGTACATTTAAAAGCATGAATGTCCTATTATCCAGCTTGAATGTACCTGGTGTCCCTCTGGTGCGCATCCTTTAATGACAGACAGTGCATCGTGAAGAGTGAGTCCAGTGCTTTCTCCTTCACCAACACCCATCACGTCACACAAGACCAGAGCTGTGGGCTCGTCCGCTTTCTCTCCTGCTCCTCTGATGTTGTAAGAGCGAAGCTGAGAAACACCAAAGAAAACTAGTTAAATAGACTGCAAAATATAGCTTGAACCTCTCAAAATATGACGGCAAAATGTCAGTGAAACCTTCAGAAGCTTCCAAAAATGCCGACTGTTGACCTCAGATTTAGCTTGATCACAAAGCTTCTGCAAGTTCTAGTCACGTTTACCTTTTTAGTGAAGCTGGTGGAGGAGGAAGAGCCCACCATGGCCCTGTTGATGACTCGTCCAGAGAAGACGGACTGGACAGAGCTGATGAAGCTGGACTTTCCAGCACCGACCGGACCGATCAGCAGAACTCTGGCCTCGGTAACAGTCTCACTGGCGGGTTTAAATGACCTGACAGACTCCATCAGTGTCTCTCTCACTCTAAACACACAGTTTAAGTCAATATTAAAGGCGACTGATACCTGGATGTTATAAAAAGCCTGTTTCACAGTGGTGGGTCTACTTACTCTTCACTCCACTTCATATTTCTCCACTCATTTTCCAGCAAGAGTGGAAATTCTGCTAAAGTATAAAAACCAATAGTTATGAAGTGGGCAGTGAGACTGTTTATTTAAAGTGGTTGTTGTTTAAATAATTCTATATTATACCTCCAAGAGAGAATTGAGGTACTGCCACTTTTTTAGGCTTATTGCGATCAGATTTGGTGCCTGAAGATGCGGCTAAAGCAAAACTGGCTTTTGCAGGTGTGCTGCTGGTTTCTGAAGATGTGGCTAAAGAAGCAAACGTGGGTACTGCAGCTGCGGTGGATTTGGTGCCTGAAGATGTTGCTAAACCAAAACTGGGTATTGTAGGTGTGGTGCTGGATTTGGTGTCCAAAAACATGGGTGTACCAAAAAATGACATTCTTGATCAGAGAAGGGAATGTCTGCAGATGTGCCTGGAATCAAACAACAGTACAAAATATAGTGAGTATACACATAAACCTGCCTGTACAGAATGGAATTGAAAAGTTATAGGAAAATGAATATCATACTTGAGATTAAGCCCATTTGACAGAACACCCTAGCAACCACACATACGCACTGACAACCATCCAAAAAAATGGTTCACATTCTTCTTTGGATGTAAATCAAATGTAAAAAAATAATAATAATTTTAAAATCAAGGAACATAAGCCTGGCGAGGCCGTGACATCCTAAATCATAAAAGACGACCAAAACATGCTCTATGGTAGTTATTACACTTATCTTATAAATGTTACTGTTAAAGTTATTACGCTGTTTTATTCTTTATTGGTAGCCTATAGCGCTCTATTATATCGCGATCCAGCCAAGCGCGGAAGGAGTAGAAAAAAAGCGGAAAATGACAGACTTTTGACAATAAGATTTGACTACTGACAGTAAATTAAAAGCATATTATCTTGGTAAAGTCATTTTGGAGAGTTGAAAACTCTCAGAATCTTTAAGTAGTGTATAATAGTTAAGAGTTTTAACTGTTTTGTGAGGAACATAAGTAGGTCCCCAGAGAGCACACGTACGTCTGCAAGACGTCTGCTAAAGATCGCTTCATCTGGAAAGCATCTGCTGTGTATAAACATCTGATAGACGTCTCTAAGATGTCAGTTTTACAT